AACTACAAGGTCGGCAGTTCAGCTGAGCTGCTCCTCGGAAAAACTATACAGGGTCACTATGGGTCGGAACCTACTCGATGGCACTTAACAACAACAACAACAAATTAGCGAAGAAGTAGTAAAATTCTTACTATTTGCAGATGATATTATCATATACACAGAAAATCCCAAAGACTCAGCAAGAAAATTACTGGAACTCATTGAAAGATACAGCAGAGTGACACAGTAAAAGATCAACATAAAAAAGCCAGTCAGATTTCTTTATACAAAGAAACAGAACTCTGAAAAGAAAATTAGGGAAACAATACCATTTACAATAGCCTCCCAAAAGATGAAACATTTAGGAATAAATCTAACCAGAGAAACAAAAGACCTATACAAAGAAAGGACTCCTGTTGCTCTGTACAATCAGCATTGGATTACAAACCACAAGGCCAACAGTTCAAACTCATCAGCTGCTCCTCAGAAACCCTATACAGGGTCACTATGAATCAGAACCAACCTGACAGCACTTAGTAACAACAACAATACAAAAAAGGTACAATACAGTACTACATGAAACCAAAACAGACTTACAAAAATGGAAGAACATACTAAGCTCCTGGATAGGAATACTTAACACTGTTAGTTGGCATAGTCCACAAAGGCAATGTTCTACATCCTACTTTGGTGAGTAGCAACTGGGATCTTTAAAGCTCATGAATAGTCACTGAAGGTACAACTACTGGTCTCTCCATGTACAGCAGAGAGAAGAAAGATGAAAACTGAAGATGCTTGGAATCAATTAGTGTAATGGGAGGGATCACATTAGAAGGTCCCGGATAGAGTGGGAAACAAAAAACAAAAAAGACCAGACTTACTGGTCAGAAAGCGACTGGAGGAACCTGAGACTATGGCCCTCTAACATCCTTCTGGAATGGAACTCATCCTCGTGGCCCAATTTCCAAACAAGCGATGGATAGGTAATAATGGGGACATTGGACCAGGGTCTCTAAGATTATTCCAACTACAACATTCATTCTATAGTTCCTCATGCAAACAAAATGCCATTGAATAAGTTTACTGAAAATCATGGTAGTTTCTTCATTGTCCCTGGAAGCCCCAATGTTAATTTTCTTCCAAGGCTGCTTCTAAAGCTGGTCCTGCAACCAGTAATGCTCCCTTCCTTCCCTCCATTTCCCAAATCCTGGTTTTCCTTTCAAACCAAGTTTAAACCTCACTGGTTCCTAGTTATCCTGACTTTGTAACTCTTTTAGGACTCCAGTGATAAACCACAATTGTTGTAAAGTACCATCGAGTCGGTTTCGACTCATAGCAACCCTAAAAAGGGATTCCAAGGAGCGGCTGGTGAGCTGGAACTACCAACCTTGCGGCTCAACCAAGCTTGCAGTCCAGCACATTAACCCACAGTGCCACACCAGGACTGCAAATAACAATTGGGCACTCTTATTTGTACTGCCTTGTCTTTTGTATTGTTATTCTATGTATCTTTGTTCCTTCATCTTTACTGTGCTCTCAAAGAGACGGGTTGGTATCATTTTTTTCTATAACCCCCAAAGGGCCTCACACCAAGCTTGTCTTCAACTGTTGCTCAATAATGCTGAGTTGACTGAGGGGTCATCTTACAGTCACTAAGAAAACAAATGGTCAGTAATTATGAAGGAAGCTAGCCTCCATTCTTCTCCCCTCTCACATACACAAATTTATAAACAAATGCTACATTAAAGAGCATCATGCAAATTTCAATCAAGTTTTAGCTAATTCCTTAATTTTCTTTTATCTGAGCTAAAAATGGCTATAGCCATATTCACTTCTTTGATCCAAACTTAAGTGATAACAGGTATGACACTTTATTCTACATTTCCATTAATGCATATTCTCCATGGTGAAGTTCCTCTATACATATAGCATTATGTTACTTCCTCACACATCTAACTGAATTTCCAGGAAACATCTGGAATAATATCAGAGAGCGTGTGTTTGATCAGAACTACATCCTCTGATTTATTCATTTGGAAGTGACTAATTCCAACCATTAGGTTTGAAGTGAACACAGATGGATGTGTATGCTTTGGTTGGCTAACATTGAACAACAGAGATATTAAATCACTGATGAAAATTCTAAAGCAGTTTGCTTCCTCTGCCCTAAGAAAGCTATGGAGGTTTTGCTCCTACAGTGAGTACTAGTCTCTGTATTAAAAGAATCCTGGGTAACTACTAACTAACTATTCAAAGTGAATCCCAAAGTTCCCCAAGCAGAATTGTAGAGTTAGCTTTTTTTTTTTTTTTAATTAATGC